CCTTTGCAGTCCATCCCTACAAATTAGCCAAAGTGACACTTCTGCTCTTGTCCAGCCGAGGCTACAGAGTCTCACCATCTAAGGTCTAATTGTCCATCCCTCAGGTCATCTTCTTGGGACTAATGATTATTCCAACGTACAAAGCCATTACGTTGGATAGAAAACACTTATCTAGCCTCTCACAGTCCCCTCTATTAAAGAGGAAAATTTTATCATTCCTAGGAATAACTGGCCTTTTTGTCTGCTTCCTCTTTGATCAGACAGAAAATAATTGGAAGGAGTGACCAGGCAGATATGGAGGCTGCCCATACTGGTCTTGCCAATACCATTCCCTCTTCTATCAACAAAATAAGACCCTCTACCTCTCTATCCAGGACTCATGAAATTCCAGGTGGGAAATGGGCACTTCTGGTAACCTCTACGTCTCTTCAACCCCAGGCTCCTACTAAGAATGATTAATATCCAGAGAAAATATTTTCTGATTACCCAATCCCTGGAAATAAAAGAAGTAGAAGAGGTAACTAAACATTCCTCCAAGGTCATTGCATCTTTGACTTCCCCTCTCCTAAATAATACATTTCATTTCCTGCTTCAGACTCTGACCTTGACCTACCAGCTCCTTAATGTCACCAACCTGTCACTGTGCGGGTGGGCCAAGTGGTTCCCAGTAAACTAAGGCCTCCTACCAGCCCCCAGCTTAAACTTTCTTCTACTTCTATCTTAGTCAGAATTTCATTGCTGTGAAGAGACACTATGACCAAGGTGACATTTAAAAAGAACAACATTTAATTGGGGCTGGCTTACAGTTTCAGAGGTTCAGTCCATTATCATCAAAGCAGGAGCATGACAGCATCCTGGCAGGCATGGTGCTGGAGGAACTGAGAGTTCTACCTCTTGTTCCAAAGGCAGCTAGGAGAAGACTGTCTTCCAAGCAGTTAGGAGGAAGGTCTCTAAGCCCACCCCCACAGTGACACACTTTCTCCAATAGGCCACACCTACTTCAACAAGGCCACACCTCCTAATAGTGCCACTCCCTCAGCCAAGCAGATTCAAACCACCGCAACATTCAGTAACTCCCATTTGAGCTTAAGCTTTTGACTCATGAGGCCTTGGAGGACAGTGTTGGTTGAAACCATGGCAACAGGGGTGGGGGGGTGTGGAGATCCTGGCAGTAGAGCCATTTCACAGACAGGCAGTGTCAGAGAGATGCCATCATCCTGATGCTTAAGATTCTTCTGAACACAGAAACACCTATGAGAGCTGTCTTATGGCAACTGCTACACTTGAGAGTGGCTTCCTCCATCCAACTCTCACACTTCCTTCATACTGCTCTTGGGACAGGCATAATTATGGTTTCCCTTAGATGTCCTCATCCTGTCCCTGGAACCCAAACAAGTTGTGCGGCATAGAGCCTTAGTTCTTTGGTGCCACTGTAACAAAACAGCAAAGTCTGGTAACTTATAAGGAGAAATGTATGTGACCTTGCCGGAGGCTAGGAAGTGCAGGGTCAAGGTCTCTCAGCCTTCCTAACACTGTAACCCTTTAATACAGTTCCTTATGTTGTAGTGACACTTGCAACTATAAAGTTATTTTCATTACTACTTCATAACTGTAATTCTTCTACTGATATGAATCACAATGTAAATAGTTTTAGAGATAGGTTTGCCAAATGAATCACGACCCACAGGTTGAGAACTGCTGCTCTAGAGGGAATAAATCTGTACCCTCACATTGCAAAAGAGCAGAAGAGAGTGAATCTATTCCCTGAAGCCCCTCTGTGAGGCTCTGATCCCATCCCCATGGAGCTCCACCCTCATGACTTAATCACTTTCTAAAGACCGCTCTCTTACTACTCTCCCTTTGGAAATTAAGTTTCAGAATATGAATTTGGGGGAATTCCTGCCTGTGTGCCTTCATTCTTGATGATAAGATCTTTTACTCTGTTGCCGCATTCCCTCACTGATTCGAGAACCAGCTTCCAGGGTAGACTCTCCAGGAATTGTCTAGGCCTTCAGCACCAGACAGGAACTGCTGGGACAACTAGTGAGGTGGACTGGGTGACTACTAGATACCCGGATGTTTGAATGTGAGACAGCCATTGTTCAACCAGATCACATCGTGTCTGCCAATGTAATAAATCTGCTTTTAATATATATTCATTCTATTACTTATGTTTCTTTAAAGAACCCTTACTCATACCAGTTGCACATGACAATGAAGATGAAGGCTCCAAATGAAATTAAGGATACTTGTCAGCTGACCTTGAGACAGGAGTTATTCTGGTTTATTTGAGTAGGCCCAGGTAAGAGCAGGAGCCCAAAGGGTCTCATCTCAGTTGGGCAAGAGTTGAAAGTATTACACTTCTGGCTTTGAAAACAGAGGAAGAAGCAGGAGCTGAGTAACGCTGGTGGCTTCTAATGAGAGGGAAGCTGGCAACACAGGTTCAGGCCTACAGTCTCCAGCCAGCAGGGTGGCCCTGCTCTAACAGAATTAGCCAATGAGGCAGATTCTGGATGTCTGACCTCCAGAACTGTACTATAATGACCTTGTGCTGTTTCAAAAGACTGCAATTGTGGTTAAGCGGCTATACCAGTGGTATGTTGGAGACTTAGCTTCCACACTCATTAACCAGTCCACGAATCAGCTTCAAGGTTGTTGGAAGGCAACACTGGGCAAATAGCAGAAGCCAAAGGAGCCGCATTTTGTTTGGGGTCATTGAATCCATTCTCTCAGAGCAATTCTGGAAAGCCATGTGACATCTGCAGGCACAGAGGATTAGGTCATAGGAAAAGAATCTGAAGGTGGGCACAACTTGAGAGTGAACAGTCACAATGCCTGAAGGGCTATTCCACAGCTGATGTTTGTGGTTTAACTGAATGACTTAATGAACCTTCAACTTTAGATGGTGTGGAAATGCCCCAACATAAACATTCTGGGTTTTACTTCCAGTGCCATTTTCAATAGATGACAGGAGAAGTGCGGCATTTGATCACGGGCATTGGATTCTGAGCATAGTTAAGGAAAACCAGCTACGGTGTTCAGCAGGCGAAAGCAGTAATGCAATGTTTACTTGCTATTTTCTCTTGTGACAGGTATGTCGGGGTACACCCTCATTGCCAATCAAAGAATAAAGTGTAATTTTTTTAAAACTTATTTTTAATGATGGTTTTTAAACCTTTTAACCTCTCTTTTAGCCCACCACCCACTAGGGATAGTGGGAAAGAAAGAATATGGGGGGAGAAGTGGACCTGTTTAGAATGGTTCTTTGTAGCAACTCCCATCTGTGTTGTCTGGAAATCAGCAGTTCAGTTCAGAGATCAGCAGTGGCAGCTCAATCCACTCGGAAACATTTTATGGGTGTATCAGCAGTCCAGTTCTGTAAAGTCAGGATAGCAAACAAGGATCAGCAGTAGTGGCACTACCTAACACAGACTGCCAGGCCTCAGCCTTGGCACTAGTCAGCAGGAGGGACCAGGGCCAATAGGAATCCCAGAAAATGTTCTCTGCTGTGCCTCTCTCAACAAATCGATGATCAACACGTCTGTCTCAACTGTCATCACTCTGCTAATCAGCCTGAGTCCTTAGAAGCCTCAAGAAGTCACAACATACTACCAGAAGTTTTTTGGTATATTTCTCTTTATGGAGTCCCAACAAATGGAGCTCAACTACACAGGGCAAGATGGACCAATACGTGTGTGTTGTTAACAAAAATCTTTCATCATGTGTCCTTTCACATGCTTATTTTAACTGAACATCCTTTCAGCTGTGTCTGCTTCAGCTGAACATTCCTTCACGTGTCTGCTTTAACAAACCGTCCTCTCACGTGTGTCCACTTCAGGAAAACACTCCTTCACATGCTTGCCCCAACAAAACACAGTCCAGCACTTCCAAATGATCCTTAAATGACCACTTCCATGCAGTCTGCTTCTGCCCTGGTAGGAGACAGTATCTCTTCCAAAGCCACATGCTAGATGAACACTGTTAAGCAGGAAGCCCAAACAATGGTCACTAAAGCTGTCACAAATCAGGCCTATCATTGTGCAGATATGGAAACATCTAACCACAAGGGGAGTTGAGGAATGTTGTTCTTGTTTTAAGTGGGCTCATTGTCCAAGATTTTTTTTTTCAGCAGCTGCAATATTGGGAACCAGCCAACTAATAAATAGCATATAGTGTAGAGTGTTTGCTTACTCACACATTCAGGAGACTATTTAGGGTGTATCTCCAAAGAACTGCAAGACAGTTAAAGATAATCATAGCTATATGTCTTCTACCAGAATCAGCAAAGTCTGCAGACACTGCCATAAAGGGGAGCCATGAAAGAACTGGTGTCTCCGTCTCCATCTCTGTCACCTCTGTCTCCGTCTCTTCCCTCTCTGTTGTATCCATTTCCGTCTCTGTCTCCTCTGTCTCCGTCTCCTCCGTCTCCCTCTCCTCCCTCTCCCTCTCCCTCTCCCTCTCCCTCTCCCTCCCCCCCCCCTTCCCCTCTCCCTCTCCCTCTCCCTCTCTCGCACACAGCACACACACACAGGTAAAAAGAACCCTGCCTTCCCTGGTCACCCCCACTGGCTAGCTAAGGCTGCTGGCTCCTGAGATGGTACACAAACTCTTGCCTAGGACAAGCACTTACTTAGCACCTCTCTGGTGCCCAGTGGTTATAGTTGTCCTAGCATTCCTTTGCAGGAAAGCCTTTCTGAACCAGCCTGAGCGGGGAGGCCTGGCGTGAGGCCAGGCATGAGGAGGGCTCAGTCGGATCAGAAATTCACAGTTCACAGCCTGCCACTTTCATTTCCTAAAACTGAAACCTGTGTAAAGGGACTTATGCAACAGTGGAATTTCAGCTCCATCACTCACTGGAGCCCCAGGGCCAGGCAGAGCTGGTCCAAGAATAGCTCCAGATACAGCAAGTCTTGCTATGAAGTTTCTGAGGGAGAGCCAGAACTTTCTCAGCTGACTCCAGCTAGTCCTTGTCCTTGGGAAAAACATGGGAAGCCTCTGCTTTTCCCCAGCCAAGGGCTGGGCTCCTCATCTCTGAAAGGAAAGTTGTCATTTGCTGTTGACCTGACAGTCCTGGCCAGGAGCCTCCCTTAACAGAGACATCACTGGCTTTTCCTGAAAGAAATTAGCCATCTACTTGGAATAAAACAACTTGAACTAATTCACATAAACTGTAAATGACTGAAAGTCTGATAATAATCACATTCCTTTTGTTGTCTTGTTTTTGGACAGGGCCTCATGCAGCCTAAACTGGCTCCAAACTCCGGATCTTCCTATCTTCATCTCCCATGTGCTGGGATTCGGTGTGAGCTTGCATCCAGGGCCAAGTGAGTACTTTCAAGGATACAATTCTATAAGCAACCATAGGCTCATCAGTTCTTTCCAGATCCCTCAAGTAATAGCAGTTAATGGAGTCTGTTTTCTCAAGAGTCAAATGATGGGAGAACCCTGGTCCACTGTTTGGTCTGCACCATAGATGCCCTCAGTGAAGGAGCAGTGGAGAATTAACTGTGGAGGGTGGAGAGGGAGGGAGAGAGGAGGGGCGAGGGAAGAGAGGGGAGAGAGGGGAAAGAGGGGAGAGAGGGAAGAGGGTGGGAGGGGGAGAGGGGGGAGAGGGGAGAGAGGGGACAAGAGATTGTTTCCTGGTAATTTTCCTGCAATCATTTTGTATTCTTTATTCTCTTAGAAACAAATGCTTTTTAGGAAAGGTGGGTCACTGTTAATCTACTATCTTGATCCATTCACATTGATTTTTTTTCTGTGGTTTTTATCTTTTGCCAACATAGCTTTGGAGCACTGTAATTTCATAAGTCCAGATGCTCCTCTTCAGTTGACCTACAACCCCTTTCTTAGCTCCTTCAGCCCACAGTCATTGTTGTTGCTATTACTCTCCTGCCTGTGTCTCTGCATGCATGTGGGCTGGCAGCTTCGTTTCTCCACTCTATTTTCTATAAAACAAATGTATTGCTTGGCTGTTCTTAACAGTCCAATTTATATCCAGCACTTGTGAACACCAGGCACCATTTGTGCCCCGTGCACACACTTCCTTACATACATTTACATACATCTACATACATTTACATACATTTACATACATTTTACAGCCAGGATCACTTGATCCAGATATCACAGCCAGCAAGGGAGCTCAGAGCCTATGTCTCAGCGCCCTTTAAGTGACCACACGCTTCTCAAATCCCTTTGAAATATTATTTTTACGTCGGAGTAGTCCTAAGGGACTACTTTGCCAAATGAAGCACAGGCAGGGCTCAGCCCTTTGGTACCCAGGACATGCTCAGGTTGGTGCTTGGTATTGTTGAGAATTGCCACACTTAGCAAATTCTGGCATCTGTTCAAAGCAGAGGCTGTTGACTTCTGGAAATAGAAGGCTAAGGGTGAACAGAACAAAGAATTATATGATAGATACCCCATTTCTCCCCAGAACAAGTACCCTCGATCCATCATTTTTATCCAGATTTGTCAACAATTTGACTAGACCTACTAGATGAACTACAAACTAGATATAAAACTAATTTAAATCATAAAGCCTTTCTAGAAAACACTGGGTAACCTTGAGAGTTTGTTTGGTTCTGGGCCCTATTAGCTCAAGTCTGCTTTTCCCCTCAGGATATCTTGTTGGACTAGAAGGAAAGATGTTTAGCTGGATGGGCAGGTTAGACAAGACCTTGTCGAAGTAGCCTTCTCGGAGATGGTTTTCAGCAAGACAGTTTTCATCACTAGGGGCGAACAAGGGACTAACAAACCTTGGGAAGTGAGTAGGAGTTTTTCATGGTGAGCATACTTCATTGGCTGGATCATTGATGCTGGAAATGCTTCACTTGCATGAAGAGAAATTCCAGGTGCTTTTCTCCTTTTAGGAGAGAAGAAGTTTAACCTAAAACCTGGCCACCAAGCTATGTGACTGCCTCAAGGGTGGCAGATGTGGGGGTCATAAGGCTACGAGTGCCAGGACATGCAGGCCCAGAGAAGGGAGGAAGCTATCTGCTCATGCCAGCCTCAGGACAAAATCTTCAGGATTTGAACACATCTTGACCCCATTCTTGCTCCAGACTGGTTTCCTTGGACACATGGCTTTTTGGGGCCACAGGGCCCTGTATTGTGGACAAGAGTTATTTCCACTTTCCAAATGTGAACACTGAGTCTTGTGATCTACTCAGTTACACAGCCATCAAGATTTAAGTCCAAGTCTGCTGACAGTGTTCACCCTTACGGGTCGTACAACATTGCCCCAACATTGCTGTGGAGGCTGGATTATTGGGGGGGGGCATTGTTCTGGGACCCAGTAGTCAGATGACACAGCTCTGAATTGGAGGCACATGGGTCACTGCTGAAGGCCGAGGGTCAGTCCAGGAGATGATTTAGAGCAATGATTAGAGTCCATTAGAATCAAAGTAAAGGGTATGTATTTTAGATCAACAGTGAAGATTTGCAGCCTGCGGGCAAAAATGATGATGATGACAGCTTACCATTACGGAGCTCCTTCTGTATATCAGCAATGAGCATGCATATATATATGGATAACGCACATGTACCATATATATATATATATATCAATTCAGACAAGGAGGAAACCCTTCTGTTATTGGAGTGGAATCTCATCTCATACTTGAGCCATTATTTAATTATCATTAACTTCCATCTTATATCTAAAATAATAAATGACATTGTTTCAGGTATGGTTTACTTGGCTTAAAATGTTCTTGTTTGGCAATTGCAGTTGAATTGTGCAAAACCTGTTGGGCAATATTCCTGTAAAGCGAACTCACAGCAAAATGGGAAGACATCCATACACTATAAAACCTCTGGCCGCATGCACTACTTGAGTGTGTGGCTACGTTCCCCTGGCTGAGGAGGTTAGGAAGACTGGAATGCTGGTCTCAGGACAGCCAGTGAAGTGCATAGTGTGTGGGCTTTGTAATCAGAAGAACCAACCCAGCTGTTATGTGGCAAGTTCTTAAACTCTCTGAACATCCGTGGCTAAAAGGAGGTTAATACCCCTCTTATAAAATTATTACAGAATGGTAGACACACACACACACACACACACACCCCAAACAGGAATTTATTTTCCACTCCTTCATCCCCATTTTGGATCTACTTATGAAACTTTGTAGTGTCTTCTCTTCATTTTCTCACATTATGCTATTTTGCTACTTGCCTTGATGCACACACACACACACACACACACACACACACACACACACACACTTTTCTAAAATGCAAAGGAAAAGCTCCCAGAGAGGACCCCAGGGCAGAGCATGCCTGTGGCTGAAGGGGCATAGAGCAAGCTTGAAATGCCAGGGTGAAAAATACAGGATACCTGAAGTTACACAGGGAAGTGCTTGGACAACTCAAAGAAAATAGGCAGCAGGGGCCTTCTAGCTCTGGGATTTTGTCACATAGCAAAAACAGGGGCATAAGAAAGAGAGCAAGGGCTCTGCAGTGTCCGGAACTTGAAGTGACAAGCTGATGTGGCAATAGGAGGGGCTGGGCAGTGTCTGAGTTTCACCAGGAAACCCACCCAGCACTCCAGGGACAGTCAGCTGTCATGCTCAGAATATCTCATGGCCGCACCCAAGCTGGGTTATTCCCCCTTTTAACAAAGGGATAGAATTCTCTCATAGGTCAATTAGAAGTGCTGGGAAGCAGGTATGACTCTCCATTTAATACTCAGAGATTCAGAAACCCAGGGATCTACAGACCCACCCACCTATGAGCTTCAGTTGACACACAGGGCTTGCCGGAGAAGAAAGGCGTTAGCAAGTGGGTCTAGGAAGAAGGAACAGTTGATAGGAGCTAGGGAGATGTACATTTGTATACTAGAGTATACACCTCTGTGTGTCCATTTGTGTCCATATTGTATACTACACACTTGTATCCATATTTTAGAAAGAAGCCTGCATTTCATATTATTAATAGTTTATCAAGAATACACTATAAATGGTTTGCTTGTTCTAACTCAGTGCCTTCTGGAGGACTACACAGCTGAGACTGGCAGACACTAGTTTTCCAAAGGAATACCTGAGCCCGAGTGTTCAGAGATAGGTAAGTGCATGGGGTAGCCAGGAACATGAGGAGACACAGAGATCACAAGTCTCATGAATATGGCTGACCACCCCAGCAGAGCGTTGAGACTGAGTTCTGAGTGGATGCTGTTGTTCCCTTCCCTGTAAAACAACTCAAATGTTCATGTCTCTGCTCAGTGGTGTTTGCAGAGGCAGGCAGCATGAGCTCTGAAGCCGGGTTGGCTGACTCCACTGGACTGACTGAGGAGCTCTCCAGTCAGTGGTGGAGTTAGTGAAGAATCCCAGTGGCAGCCCCAGATTTTACCTAAGGCCCTCCCTTTTGCACATCCAGGCAGTCTCTCATGGTTTCATTTAGCCAATTCAAGCAATGCACTTTTGGGGTTTGTTCCTGGGCTTTAGCTTCATCCGGCCTCTGGCCTGAAAGTGCTTTAGTGATTTCTTCCCCCATCTGGGTCACTTGCCTCCCTCCTCCTCCCTTGGGTAGAGCCTGCTTGGTCTCTAGGATCCTTTCTGTTCAGTTCATTCTGGTTTATTTCAGAGGGCTGACTCAAGGTGGCACAGCCTCCATTCCTGGGGACAGCTTTCGGGAATGCTTTCTGGAGAATTGGCCTGACTGTGGTTATGACCCCCTGAAAGAGGAAAATGTGCTATCGTAACACAGCTTGGTTACTCTACATACTGGCCCCTGGAGGGAGCTGGCCATTCAGTGGATCTCAAAATTGTTGTTTTGCCAAGGATGGAAATTATAAGGAAAGATATTAACTTCTGTCTACACAGCAAACCTCGTCTTTTGATGCGATTTCACCAAAGGAAATTCTGAGATGTTAATTTCTACTTCATAGTTTCTAAGAGTGTGCTCTGAATTAACACTACTTTTTTTTTTATGTCACATTGTCTCTAAAACAATCTGGGACAAAATTCAGTCTGCCCCTGAAACTGCCATAAACAACAGACTAGCAACTGTGTGGCTACTTTAGTGATACATGTAGATACACACTGTGTCAATAAATGACTCTTGTAATTTATCAGAAAATAAATACAAATTTATATGAGATGTACAAAATAAATCCTATAAGATTCATGTATGATTATGTTGATAATAGCCACAATATTTCGAGGAAAGGTTTTTATGCTTTGTTTGCAAAGCAATTTGATGTTCTTAAAAATCAGTCTACTTTTGGGAAAATTTAAAAATGGTCTAAGGTTAAGTGATTTTTTTATTTCATTAAAATGGTTCTTTTCTGGTGATTTTTGTTAGTCTTTAGCTCTTGGAAAAGGAACTGAGTTTTAAAATACTTTAGATGAACATATATTAATTATATATATAATAACGGGTTTCACTGAGGCATTGTCAATTGTATAGAATGTATTTTGGTCACAGTCACTCTAGTGCGCTCTCTTGACCCTGTCTACTGCCACTGATCTCTTCTTCTTTCCAGTTAGGCTCCCTCAGCATCGCATTTCTGATGCTGTTGTTATGGTTGTTCCCCAGTGAACTTAGGTTTTCTTACAATAGCACAGGTGAGAGGCTATTGACAGGCACATGGAACTTTCCAGCAGCTATACCACTGAAGAAAAGGTCCTCTGTTCCTGAAATCATTAACTGTCTGTGGGTCTCCAGAGAAGTGAGACTCACATACCCTGGTGTCCTTTTACAGTCCATAACTCGTAAGGGACGCACAGGGCTCTCTGACAGGCGCTCCCTTGTGGACTCTGTTTCCTTCCATGGAGGAATGTTAATGGGTCCAACCTTCTTACACAGGCAATCATGGCTACCAAGATAGATATCTATTGATGGATGATATAGATACAGACATATGAACTCCTTACAGGTGTATGTTAACTGCTTGCTGCTGGATCTGTTGTATGTTAATATAGTTATGTTCCTCAAATATATAGCCTCCAAGAGTATAAAGCTTAGGACATTTTACCAAGCTGGGGTCCCCTAAACTAGAACTGTGTTGTGATGCTAGTTTTTCCAGACTGTGTTCATGTTTCCCTAATTCTACTGTAGTTATCATTTTAGAGCAAAGGTAACCAATCTGTTTTGCTGATTGCTAAGCTTTCTGAAAAATCCTACCTTGACTGTTCTAAGCCGTTTTCATCTGCACTTTTGGCCCTTTCACAAATAGTTTACTATCAAACTCTTGAAAAAAAATCACCCTAACTAAGTACCTGTTTTACAAACTAGCTTCTTTTAAATATTTGCTATGGTTTGTTGTTAGATTTTCTCTCTTTGGAAACCTTTATGATTCTTTTCTCTTGACACTTAGAGAAATGCAGCATCTAACTCAAGAAACTTTTAGGGCTTGGTTCTAATGCTGTCTCAATTAAATTCGGCCCCTAAAGGCCGCATTCACAGAAGCTGAGGGTCTCCGCCCCGGGCTGGATTTGATTGGCAATAAAGAATTGGTACAGCCAGCCAATGGCTGGGCAGGTAGACTGAGGCGGGACCTGGGGGTTTGCATTGTCTAGTAACTACGGGAGAGTAGAAGGGAGAGCTCTCCATGACAGAAAAGAAGAACGACTAGACCTGCGACCTGTGAGACATGTGGGAACCAGGGAAAGTGGCCACAAGGGCCACTTCCCCAATTGTGTGTGGGATAGTAGAGATGAAATACAGATTTTAAAAGATGTTAACTCAGAAGTATCTGAGGGGAGTGTTTTCTACGGCAAGGATTAGAACTGCCTAGCCTTTGAGCTAGTCAAGGCATTTAAAATTAACTGGCGGGTGTGTGCGTGTACGTGTGCGTGTGCACGTGAATCCAGAGGGCCCTGGCCGGTGGCTGGGAGCGCGACCCTCCAACCTCCAATGGAGCTAAAGCGATAAAACTAAACTTGTCTAGTTTTTTCTTTGTTGAGATGTTTGAAAATCACCCATAGCAGGACAGGCAGAATTAAACATGGGAATGGGTACTAGCTAGGTGTGGCCCTAGAGTCACTCTTGTTCCTTGAATTTGACGGAAAATCAGGACTCAGGTCCGTGTTCCTTAAATCTGTCTACTGACCACCAACATGGAAATAAATGAGATAAATTGGAATAGATTTCATTCCTTTCGTGAGAAACAGTCAAGACCAAACCAACAATTAATTCTTAGCAATGGTTACTTAGTCATGTTGTCAGGGCAAACTGTTCAGTGACAAAGAGAAAAGTCAGAGTGGAAATGAAGTCACTCTGGACATGGTGACATGCACCTGCAACCCCAGAGCTTGGGGGGCTAGAGTAGCAGCTGGTGAGCTTGAGGCCTGCCTGGACTTTTAGTTGAAGCTCTGTCTTTAAGCCTACAACAAGGACAGAAGTCACTACCCCAAATCAAGTACAGAGAGGCTCTTCTTCAAGTACAGAGAAACACTTCTCATGTGTGTTCAGTTGTTCTTTTCTGACGTTGACTCTCACCAGAATTTTCTTTATTGTATTTGTTTTGGGCATAAGCATTATTTCCTTCGAGAGTGAAGTTTAAAAGTCAGGGACTGTAATCATGGCTGTATGTAGCAATACCTTTTCCATGTCATGCTGATAGGCCCTCCTCTGATGGGCTGGTTCCTACAAACAGCCTTGGGGCCACCTGCAGTTTAGTATAACTTACAGTACATGTGCCCTCTGCTCGATCCCCCAGTCTCACTAGAATAAAAGGAGGCATTTACCCTCTGTCGTGACTAAGAACATAGTGGAGCACTGTGGGACATGTGGCTATATCTCTATGATGTGGGTGAGGGTAGAACTCTTACATGTAGGTGTGGAACATCTGGAATGTGCTATGAAAAAGCCTTAAATTCAACATCTCACACCCTCAGGGCTATTGCATATGGCAAGGCAGGGAAGTGTTCCTAGACAACAGCCTCACAATAGACTGCTTGTCAGTAATCCATAGCCATAGATGTAAACCATCTGAAGGGATGTGTTTCTCGAACATGAAAACAATGCCCAGTTGATGGAGCAGCAAGTTGCATAAGCTTGTGAGAGTGTCTCTAACATAAAAGCAGATGTGTGGGCTGGAGAGGTGGCTCAGTGATTAACGCTTCTTCTTGTTGTTGTTGCAGAGGCCCAGAGATCAGTTCCTAGCACCCAGATTGAGCAACTCTTAACATTCTGTTAACCCCAGGGCCGGGATCTGACGCCCTCTGCTGGTCCCTACAGGCACTGCACTTACCTGCACAAATGTGTACAAAGGCACAGACATACATACACACATACAAATAAACAATAATAAATATTAAAGGCAGTGAAAGAAGAGGGATGATTTCTTTCATTTCAGTATGTCGTTTCCTACCTTTTAACTTCTGAGCCTTACAGGCTCAAGGAAGATTTTCTGATTTTTTTTTCTTTTTACTTCTTTTCTGCACAACTATTGTTGCTGCATGTGGTATGTACCCCATTGTGTACAAGCATGTGCTGAGGATTCCATACTGCTAAGAGGCCGTACTGGTAGTCATCCAGGTTCACAGTGGCAGGAAGCCACCTTCTGTTTGAAACAGATCCCCAAGAGTTACTCCTAACAGTGACGACTGACAGAGGGTGGGACATGAATGGTGGCACATTAGATTCCATGTTGTCCTCCACATTGTAGAAAAGAACCTACAAGGTATGACGTCAATAGCTTGATGTGGACACACTGTTAGTGGCTGGCTTGTTCCAAGTCAGCTCTCCAGCTCAGGAGGTCCCTGGGATAATGTGGGGCTGATACCCATGGAAACTAAGCCTACTGAGGACTCAAGAGATGACAATGAGAAGGACGGGCATGATCATGACAGAGGCACAGACATCACAAGTCTCAGCAGCATGGCTGGCCATCTAAACAGAGATCCAAGACTGGGCCTCCAATGCCTAACTGCCTTTCCTCCCTCCTTATAAACCTGCTGGCTGGAAGGAAGACAGAGTAGAGGTGTTTTCATATGATTTCCAGACTTCTGGATAAAACGTAGATTCCATTGCTGTGTCTGCTCTTTGGTATTTGCAGGGACAGGCAGGAGGTGTTCTACTATCCAGGTGATAGGATGCTCTGACCAAGAAGAAAGTGGGCTGAGTTAGTCATTTTGAGGGACGGACCACTGTAAGCACTGAGCATGTCCTGGGCAGCTGACAGGGTGAAGCAGAAGGGATGCGTGCTGTGGAATATATTTAATCTTCTACCCAGCCTTTGATTATTCAATTCCCAGATAAAAGACATGTGACCTTTAATTCATATTAAGCCTTTATCAGCACTAAAGCTGGGCAGATATCTGCCCTCTATGCTATTAAGGTCTGCTTTCCTGTCGATAACTGCATTATTACTTACAATATTCCATCTGGTTCCATCTGGTCTTAACTCTAATTGGTCAGCCCTCCTGGCCATGATTTTAAGATTCTTACCCCATGGTGTCTTCTCTCTCTTCCTTCCTTCCTCCCTTCCTTCCCCCTTGTGGTTCTCCTCAGACCTGAAGCCCCAGGAACCCAAGCCCCACTTATCTGAATTCTGCCCAGCTATAGGCTGTAGGCATCTTTATTCACTAATCAGGGATAACTTGGAGGTCAAGGTCACATAGCATCACTTGGGTCTGCTGTGGATTCTCTCATCGCTGGAGACAAGCAGGTTCCAGGGGCCAGTATTTAGCGTCAGCAGTACAAGCCGCATCAGGCCAACCCACCACAATTCCGCCTATTTGTCCAATTAAAAAGACTCCTTTTCTCTCAGATATAAATTAAATACAATTATAACAATTGTGAAAACTATAAGGTATGACACATTCATAATGTCCAGTCCATTTATACTTGGCAACTTCAAGTTTTCTATATATCCTATCTTGGTGGGTTTAGAATTTTGTATTTTTTAATTTAATTTGTATTATCATCCTAAAAACGCTTTTCAAACCTAGAACATCTTTTTTTTTTAACCTAGAACATCTTAAATGCTAAACAACTTAAGTTTAATTGTGGATCGCTGAC